ATTTTCGTAGATGTTGCTGCTTCATCATAATAATCTAGAAATTCTCTAAATGTTTCATTTAGAATATACGGTTTTTATTATGTGTGCAGGATGAAATTAGAAAAGTTATAAATGATAGTTGGCATTGATTTATGTATAACATCTAATTTCAGTGCCGTGCCTAGACATTTGGCGACCCAAAGCAAAAATTAATTTGCCGGCCCCCTTAAAAAACACTTACCTAAGCTTATTTGATAAATTTTCGCAAGGAGAATAAAAAACATAACATTTATTAATTCTAGTATATTGAATAAGATTCTAAGAGCTTTAATTGCTGGGTTCCTCCAACTAATTACTCGCCTTATTTAGTAATATAATGAAAAATTCAATGTCATATATTTTTTTTAACATTTAATAGTCGAACCCATCTTAATTAAAATAATAACTCAATCTAGATTATAGTAATTTAAAGTACCCACCCCAAAAGGTCTATATATTGAATAACTATTGTGCAAAATTATTTATTTTAAAATAGACTTATCAGAATATCTAAAAAGTGCCTGTTAGCGATTACAACTACAAAAACTGGACCCCTACGAGAAAATAGGTTTTTTTACAAAAAAAAAAGAGAAATGTAAAAAAGACGTGAACCATTGGAACCAAATATATATCAATTTATTATCATTGGTTCATATTTATACAATCATAATTAAAAAAAATGTATAACATATTTACTCATATTTAAGTATTAAATATACATATACAAACAACATCCAAAAATCCATCAACAAAAGAACATCTGATCTTCTTCTTACATTAATCCTCCAAAAAAACCAAACTCAAAATCAAATGATCCTTTTGATTGACATTTCATATATATATTTATATATAAATACAAAACTACAACACTATGTATTGTACATGTTAGCGTCATTGTGTTATTTCCTGCAATGTGTTATTTCCTGCACAGGGTTGCCATGTCTCCCCCCATCAGTGGGAGTCTCCCACAATTTTTTAGTTTACCCACATACATCTCACTCCCACAAAACTCCCACAATTAGAAATCTTCCACAAAAATCTCCCACAATTTTTTAATTTCTCCCACAATTTTTTTTTTAGCTTATGTTTTTAATATATAAATAATAATTTTGAGAGACAGTATTTGATTATTTTTATATTTTTAAAATAAATTTTAAATATTTATTCGAAAAATATGTCTAGTTCTTTTATTTTATTTTTCCGCTAATTTTAAATTCTCCATCCAATCCAATCCATTCGACATTTTCAAAATTTGAAGTTAGAATAGTATGGGAAACTAGTGCTTTTTTTATATTTTTATTTATATATACCATGATAGTTATCTTCTAGGTGAGATTTAGATTGTTTTGAGGTTAAAGCACTAGTTTCCAATACTGATGTTGTTTTTTGGACAATAAAATGTTATAATTAAATATATAAAAAGAAAAATTATTTTCAATATAAATTGCTTATGTACTATTATATATTAAAAAATATATTATTAATATTAGAAGTAATATTTTTAAAAATTAGCAATGAAAGTGGAACTCATCTTAGAAAATATTATTATCCTAATCATCTTTAATCTAAGCTTAAAAAATCCTAAATATTATACATATTTTATATTTTTATTTATATATACCATGATAGTTATCTTCTAGGTGAGATTTAGATTGTTTTGAGGTTAAAGCATTAGTTTCCAATACTGATGTTGTTTTTTGGACAATAAAATGTTATAATTAAATATATAAAAAGAAAAATTATTTTCAATATAAACTGCTTATGTACTATTATATATTAAAAAATATATTGTTAATATTAGAAGTAATATTTTTAAAAATTAGCAATGAAAGTGGAACTCATCTTAGAAAATATTATTATCTTAATCATCTTTAATCTAAGCTGATATCCTAAGAGGCCGAATTAATGGTTAAACAAAATTATAAAATGTCATGCCAGGATTTTTATAAATATCTTAATAACGACGGTAAACGTTTAGTTCCATTATTTAAATCTCATATAAAATATAATTAACTATAACTTTGACTTCTATATTTTATAAAATCTTATTTATACATTTGCATAAAATCAAATAAATTTATTTTTTACATTGTAAAATTAATATTTTGAATATTTTGGCAAATCATAAAAATAAAGAAGCATTACAATCTCCTCAAACATGACATCATATTAAATCTTATTAATAATTATCCGATAATAGTAATATTCTTACTTTGGTATTTCTGCAGCATAATTTAGTGAGCCTTTATTAAATTATATTCTTATGATTGCAACTGCATATTAACAGCATATAGTAGATTTCCTATATGTAAAATTCCTAAATATACTTCTGCCATTTATTTTTGAAAATTATTTTCAAATAGGACAGCTTTTATTATCTATTTATTTTTTAAAGGTTTGTATTTTAAAATTCTACGATGGCGCGTATTAGGAGGAACCTGTCAACCAACATTATGCTGACTCAATTCTGTAAATACACTCTGGTTTTTGCCAAATTCACTGAGGAATTATCAGATCAGAAAGCTACCATGCAATTCATTGGTAATGCCAAATCTGCCATATTTACCATTATATATGGTTAGCTATGTCTTTGGATATTTCATATCTGGAGAAAATTTTTTTAATAGTTTTATTAAAATGACATTAATTTTGTTGAAATAGGGGAGGATCAAGGGAAATGTTTTGATATCTCCTTATTAGATGCATCTGTTAGAATTGCATATGTTTGCACATCTTTCAAATCGTCAAGAATTGACTTTCTGGATTTATATCCTAAAACATTGTTGATAGCCTTGCTCATTTTGTGTTCTACAAAGTATTCTATTCATTTATATTAGTCGTTAAATATCATGGGGAAAGATTCTACCAACATTGAGATGTTGAGTAACTCTCTGAATGTTGTACTGCATGATAGGTATTTACCATTTCCGCAACTGTAGTTGCATCTATATTATTTCTTATTTTTGAAGAATATTTTTGTTTTGAAATAGATGTTGATAGAATGCCCTGTACTGATTTATGCTTTGAAGATTTGATACCTCAAAATATCATATTCCCTTCCCCCATTTATTTTTTTACATTGTAAAATTACAATTTTTTATAAAATTTTATCTTGTTTACATTCTTTTGTATTTAAAAAAGATCGTTGGTTATTATTTTTAAACAAAATTAATATATTATAATAAATCAATATGTTTTTTTAATAATATAGTACTCTAAGAAATTTTGTGTCGTACAGTAATTACCTATTTTGAAAAATAGTTGGGTATTTTATTTTGGAAAATAGTTAACTATTTTATTTTGAAAAAGAGTTGGATATTTTATTTTGAAAAATAATTAGGCTATTTTATTTTGAAAAAGAGTTGGATATTTTATTTTGAAAAATAGTTGGCTATTTTATTTTGAAAAATAGTTGGCTATTTTATTTTGAAAAAAAGTTAGCTTTTTTATTTTAAAAAAAGTTAGCTATTTTATTTTGAAAAATAATTACCTATTTTATTTTGGAAAATAGATTAGATTTTATATTTATAAAAAATAATAAGTGGATAACTAAGTCAATTCTAAATCCCAGTCCTTTACAGGCCTTCGGCCTGCAAAAAAATTTTTTTTAGCAATTTCTCCCACAATTTTTATATTTCTCCCACAAAATACCTAATTTCTCCCACAATTTGAAAATTTTGACCTGGCAACCCTGTTCCTGCAATGTGTTATTTCCTGCAATGTGTTATTTTTTTACAATTTTGAATAATTTTTTGAGCTCGTTTTTTAAATTTAAAAATTCAGATTTTACAAGAAATATGTTCTATCATGTTTGGAATACCTACCTATCTTATGAATTATAGACTCATTTGCTGTTAACCAATTTATAATTTATATAAAAAATATATGGAAAATTTAATATAAATTATATTAAGTTTAAAAGTTCACGAAAAAAATTGTCTGAATTCCAAACATGACGGCATAGACTTCCGGTAAAAATCGGATTTTTAAATTTAAAAAAAAATGCGCTCATAAAATGTTAAAAGTTGAAAAAAATAACATATTGCCGGAAAAAACACATTTGATCGTTAACATATGCAAAAAGAAAATTCTTACTTTTTTTACAAAATTTGGCTGGTCCTAAAATTGTCTAATTCCCCCCCCCCTAAAATCTACACGAGTCTGTCTAATTTTATATCATTTCGCATTTTCATGGTTGTTTTATACATATCTTCCTTTTTCTTTGCCTATTAAAAACTTAAGACTTTTGAAGTTTGAATCTCGAATTTAGCCGATGACCAACTTTAAATAGATGAACCTTGGGCATAAAGGTTAAATAGATTGTATACATTATATACAAATTGAGATTTTTATGCTCTAGCATTTATAATGCATTAAAATTTTTTTTAATTCATTCATTCATCTTTCCATTTATTCATTCTTTATTCACTCATTTAATATTTAGTTAATAATTTTGAATATTTATGCTAACTAATCTATTCCTCTATCTTAGTTGCAAATTATTTAGAAAAAAAATATAAGCAATTATTTCTAAATTTAGTATAGTTTGATGACCGGACTATTACTCTTGGGTTGTTTAGTTTCCTGAAATATGTTAAATACTGACCAAAAGGAAAAATAAAAGTTTTTTTTTACCAAATTCTTTTGAAATAATATTCTTTCTTCAAAAAAAAATAATGATTTTAAGTTTCAAAAAAATCTTAGATTTCATTATGCAAGAAATTACAAAACTTATAGAAGGACCTTAAAAATAATATTTGGCATATTGTGGTAACTTTTATAAAATAAGTTTTTTCTGCAAAATTAAATATTTATATGTGATTGTATAATTTTGAACACAAAAATATATCATATTTTATTATATTCTATATATGTAATGTAATATCAAAGGCATAATTCTATATAAAAAATTTATTATTTTGGATATTAAGTTTTATATATTAAATATAATCACCGGATAATAAATTAAGAGTAAAAAAAATCATTTATCCCAAAAATTTATATTAAAAAAAAATATCTGTATATAAATAAATCGAAGCATTTTCATATATTTATTTGTATAATGATATAATACGAAATACAGTTTTAGTTTTATTAAAAATAATTTTTAATTTTAAATAATATATTTCTATTTTCCTTGAGTATAATTATTCAAAGTTTATTTGATTTGATTCTTAGGACGTTAGTCCAAGAGTTCATATTTCATCGAATATAAAATAGGACCGTACCTTAAATTAAACACATTATAACAAGTAATATAGTATACGTCATAGACTTTCTGCGGAGTAAATTTTGACCTGCAGATTGATTTCCGATATATGCATAAATCAAGAGAGTTTTAAGGTTTTTCTACATGTTTTTAGAATTTGGCCGGATCCCAGGGTTTTTAAAAATCTATTTCTTTAAAATTACAATATACACTGTGTCCCAATTGAACGGATACTCCTTTTTATTTTGGCAATTCTCAATTCTAAAAAATAATTCAATATATATTGATAGAGGGATAAATGATCTCAACCTTCTCGGGCAAATTTCATTAGATTCTATTCAAAAGGGTCAAAAATTATCCAGATTCAAAGTTGGACAAACAAAATTCAAACTTTCCATACCAAACTTTAATCGATAAAAACATGAAAGCATCAACTTTTAAAATTAATTTGATCCAAATGTTGTTTTTCAAAGCTGATGCTTAGAATAATGAGCCATTGGCTCGAATAGACGCTCCAAGGCGATCTCGCCATTCATTGATTGCACTATCATCAATTCCTTGATCAAAACCTCCACAAGTCGCAGCTTGAGATGGTCAACATCGCGTATGCGGATTTGTTAAATACTTTATTGAAGGACGCTATATTATATAGTAGTCGACCGGATTGTGATCAGGGTGATTAGGGCCCAAAGAGTGGGTGAGATAAAATTTGGAGTTTTTCTTGAAAGCGGATCAACAGTTTATCTAGCTCGGTGAGCTCACAATGTTCTGCTAGAATATGAAAAAATTTACTGCCCGATAATTGTTTAATAGCAGGATAAGTTCTTACCGAGTAAAATGTCACGATAGCATGCATCATTAATTTTTACCCCTGGATCGATAAAGATGATCTATGTTCAGCTAAGACTTGGTGCCCCTATTGAAACCATGACGAGTTTAGAGAAATTTGAAAGATTAGGAAGAAATCGATTGGCGGCAACTTGTTTTTCTCATTGGAACTGCGATGTATATATCCTATCATTTTAAAATTTACCTGTAAAGTTGTAAACAGCCTTTCATCGTGAATCACATGATGAACTAATCTCTAAGGTTTTTTAAGCATTTCAGCTGCAGATCTTTATGGAAAATCTCAGGTGCACTGAAGTGTGCGAAATACCAGCACTTGACAAATTGTTCTGTGGGTGTCAGGTCGGTTTTCTTGTCTCAATAGGAGCGTTTCAGCAGAATCAACATTTTCCATAGTATGAGCTGTGCTTGGTCTACTATCACCATACCGTTTTTTTCTGCTGATCCGGTAGCATCAATTTTCATAGGATTCAAGGTTGCGATAAATCAGTTTCTGCTAAGAAATCCTTTCAAAAATACTTTTGGCTCCTTAATATTTTTAATCAAAATCAAATCATTTTTGCTGAAAACCATTAAAGTCTCCCCCCCCCCCCACCCCCACAATAGCTCGTATGCCAAAAGGTGCCAGAATTATATTTTCACAATTTTTTTAGCTATTTTAACCACCCTAAATAAAAATATTAAAAGCTTAGATAATTGGATTAAATTATTATCATTTATATATTTAAATATACATCTTCCAACATCAAAATCAAATCTAACACAAAGCATCAAAAAAACATTAAATTCAAATGATAATACTTATTTTAATATTCCCAAACAACCTCCACATTCTTTCAAAAAGCTTTTGACAGATAAAAAAAAGGCCGAGCTTATTGAAAATAAAATAAACCTATGCAATGTAAATTCAGTTATCAACATAGACTGTTCAAGTGATACTATGGCCCCCAATAATGTTATAACTCTCATAGCCATGCAATCTAAACATCCTCAAGATTTTTTTTTTCACAAATCATCCTTCCACTATCTACGCATTTTTTAAGATTGAGGGAAAGCCCGTCCCATTCCACTAACCGAGATGGAAATATTGGAAAAGACATTCAAAAAATATTCTTCAGGAGGCATCGATGGCTTTCGAGCCATTTATCTCCAAGATATAATTAAACCAACTAAACCCCTATATCAAAACATACTTACACAATTCACCATTTTGCTTAATCATATCTTTCATAATAATATACCTAATCTCATTCAGCCCATCATTTTGGAGCCCGCTTAATATCCTTAAATATAATCAATGGGGACATCTGGCCTATTGCAATAGGGTCACTCTTCCGGCGAATCATTTCCAAAATAATTAGCTCCCGTATAAAGTCTAACCTATCCAATCTACTACAACCAAACCAGCTTGGTTTTAATGTTCCTGGAGGATGTGAGGCTGCATCCCACTAGACACGTGTCATCCCCCATAATACACATGATCAATGCATTCTCAAAATCGACCTACATATTGCTTTCAACTCACTTAGGAGGGAACATTTTATACCTTCTTTTTGTAAACTTTCCCAGATTATACAACATACATCGCTGCATGTTACAATCAACCCACCTTTTTAAAATTTAATGATTCTATTATTCTCTCTAAACTAGGCATCCAACAAGGAGATACTTTAGTTCCGGTATTATTTTGCCAAGGCATCCAATTAATTATAAAAGAGATCTCTTTCAATTGTGATCTTAAATTAAATGTATGGTACCTGGACGATGGCACACTAGCAGGCCCTTATAACGAAATCATAAACATTCCATCAATTATAAATCACTTAGCTCCTATTACAGGACTTTCACTAAACCCTCATAAGTGTGAATTTTATTCCCCTTCTGAATCAGACTGCCCACCCGAAAATTTTATTTTAGTGGACAAAGCCAACTTTACCCATTTAGGTTCACCTATTGGAGGGGAAAACGCTATATTTCATTTTAGAGATGTCCTTGCTAAATTTAATAGAATGAAAAATATTCTAAAATATTTACCTGCTCACCAGGCTTTCTATTTACTGGAAATTTTTTTATTCATTCCAAAAATTTTACTCGCCTTTCGTTCATTTACAATTTTCACATCCCCTGAGGTATTATTGGACCTCGAAGTCCACTTAAAAAATTCTCGAATCCATATTAAATATCAAATTTTCATCATCCTCCTGGATGCAAGGGGCTCTTCCACCAAAGCTAGGCGATATAGGCATACAATCCCCCATATCCCTAAGCATTTTAGCTTTTCTATCCTCAGTGGCTAAATTTCGACACACACTGAGAGACTTGTATATCGACCCACATCGAACGGCAGCACTAGAGCTCTGGAGCAAAAATGCCCCAAATCTCATATCCAGATTCACTAAAGCAAAGAGACTGGAACTTTCCATTGATACAGCATTGCGTTTATTACTTACTTCAAAGCTGTTCAAAGAAAATCTCCATCGCTCTTTCTCCACCAAAACCCTAACCCAATTATACATAATGACAATAATATCCAGATCCAATAATTCCAACATCACCCATATGCCATCTAGGATATGAATGGTTAGAAGCTGTACCTAGTTCTAATCTAGGCTTGTTATTAACCAACGAAGAACTCAGAATAGCCATAGGCCTTCGCTTATGATGTGAAATCGTAACACCTCCATCATGCGTTTTATGTGAAACCCACATCGATAGTCTTGGACACTACCCCCTTCACTGTCGTTTCTCAAAAGGCAGATTACCCAGACATCATGCTATCAATTCAATCATCAACAGAACCTTGAAATCCTTAAATATTCCCTCCACCCTGGAACCATCCGGCCTCAGCCCCGACAATCAAACCAGACCAGATGGTATGACGCTAGTCCCTTAGAACCAAGGTCTACCTCTCACCTGGGATTATACTTGTGTGGATCGTTTTAACAGATCTTTTTCTTCCAACTCTATCACGAAAGCCGAAAACACAAAAACAAACAAATATAGCAACCTTAATAATGTTTTGTTTGTTCCGGTAGTCTCAGATACCTGTGGATCATTTGGAACCCAAGCCCAATTATTCAAAACAATAGGGCAAAGGTTACGCTTAATCACAATGACCCAAAAGAAGGCTTCTACCTTCGACAGATATTATCAACTGAAATCTGCCGGTCTAATTGCATATCCATACATGGGTCTATAAGCCCCGTTGATCATACCTAATTAAATGTTTAAATATTATTTTATTTAATATAGTTTTTATATAAATTTTATTTTACAAATAGTTTACATGTTATTTTAAATATATATAATTTTTAAAAAATAAAAGAAATGAGAAAGATTTTGTTTTATTATCGCCTGCTTAAATAGAAACGATCATATTTTTTTTAGAGCAAGTAATAATGTATGCAGTTCACAAAAAAAATAATTTTTTATCATTAAAGATGTTGGAAAGTTCGAATTATGCTTGTCCAATTTTGGAATGTCAATCTCTTTGGACCCTTTTAATAGAATTTGATGAAATTTGCAAAATGCATTGATAATATATCCCACTGTCTCAATCTATGTCGCTAGAATAAAAAGGGTGACAGCTCAATTTAGACACAGTGTATTTGCCATATTGGGAATCTATGGGAATTCAGAATCTCTAAAGTTTTGAATCATTCGAGCCATTTTTAAGTTTTTAAAAATTTGATTTGGCGGGAAATGTGTTCCATCATGTAAAGAGTTTTCCACAATATGAGTTCCAAACAATTTTGCCACGACGATTATTTTTTAATGATATTTTTCATATGAATTAAAAAAATAAAAAAAAATTGTGAATATTCTGATAATTCATAGAGTAGGTGCTCTACACATGCTGGAGAATGCATTTCCGGTTAAATCAGATCTTTAAAATGTTTAAAATCGCCCCTGAGTTATTAAACTAAAAGAGCTCCTTCCGAATCCCCCATGTAAATTAGGTGCTTGTTAAAACCGGTTCTAACTAGAGTTTTCCAGAAGTTAAATTTGATTTTTATCAGTTCTAGGCGTTCTAGCCTCAGGTTGCAAACTCTGATGAATAAGCTTCCTTTGTTCTCTTTGGATATAATGATATATAATATTATATTATATACTCTTTAATTTGAAATACCTTCAATTAAACTAAGTCGAGAGGCTTTGGTTAATAATCGATGGATTTTACCAAGGTTTGCAACATTTGTTTTATTTGAGATATTTCGGTATTTAAATGCGTTTCCAAGTCAGTGATTCGTCTTAATATAATAGAAATAGAAATTTAAATTCAATATTATACCTAAATTGGAGAGTATTCATATTAAAAATATGGGTTTAGAAAGTGTACATAACATGCATAGTAGACAATTAGTGTTGTTAAACGACTCGATTTAAATCGATTCAAAAAATACGGGCTAGAAAAATATTACCCAAGTCTCGAGATTTTGCTAATAGATGTCTAAACCTTTGTGCCATCTATGAGCAAAATCTCCGGGCTTGGGAAATACTTTTCTGGAATTGATTTTCCCTTAATTTTTTTCTATTCTATTTTTATTTTAGAAATTTAATTTAAAAAAAAACAATAAATTTTTATATCGGATGCATCAGGCTAGGCTGGATTTAAAAAAACACACATTTTTTAAACCCGGATCGGTTTATATGATAACTTTGCGGCCCGGCCCGGATTTTCAATTTTTTCTTTTAAAATCATGCTCTGGTCGGGCTCTGTAGATCTCTGATATATTTATAATATATCAAATTAATATCATTTGGTCAATGTGGACCATAAAATGATGGTTATAGCTGACTCTCATATGCGAAGACATTTAAATCGTTAATATATATATGTATTTTACAAACTAGCTAGCTTACAAAATGAGTTAGTTTACTAACTATTTAGCTAGGGAGCTAATTTTGGTTTTAGAAATTTTTTCAAGATTTTGGGAATATTTGATAATTTTTAAAATTTTTTGTTCTCTTTTATTCATTTTTGAGAATTTTATCAATTTTTTTTTATAAAATCTTAACCCGGGGTTTTCCAATATTTTTGCGTACTTTTTTATTCTCTCCATCTATTTTTGATAACTTTTTTCGAAACTCAATTTTTCTCTCATTTCAAATTAATTTCGAGTTTTTCCCACCATTTATTTAAAAAAAAATTTTATTCTCATTTTTCTTAACTTTCCATTACTTTTATATTTGTTTTCAATTCATTTTTTTAATAGTATTTTATAATTTCTTTAGTTTAATTTTCTTTGCATTTTCCTAATTATTTGCCTTAGTAAGTATTTACTGATTATTTTTTTTAGTCCGATATAACCAAATTTTATAAATCATTTTCTTTATAATTATTTTCCTCCCTTTTTGCTTGATATAAACCGCTCTCACTTCTTACTACAATGATTTTCCAATGATTTTTCATATTTTTGAAAATTATAATTGAACTTTATGTTTTAATTTTCTATACGTTAACCTTCCATTCATAGTTATCACGAATTTAAGGTAATATATAAAAATACAGTCAGTAATATTTTGTATAGTTCGCCGCAAATTCTAGCTAATTGTGAATGCAGGGTCCCTCATTCGCTGTTAGCACCGAATTGCCATGTAGAATGTAAAAATATAGCGTATTTTGTATAATTGGCCGCGAAATTCGCGCTAACAAAGAATGAGAGGGGTAATGCGACATACTAGAAAAATTACTCGCACCTCTGTTAGCATTATACATTTATCGGTAAGGGATTCAATACTAAATAGTTATTTTCTCATAAACACATTTTTAGAAAGGCCAGCTTTTTACTCGCATTCCTTTTAAATTTTAACTCCTCCCAAAGGTTTGTAGAATAATGATTTACCTTCAAATTCTCACATTGACTTTACAATTTCGCGCCTTTTATTTTGTTTAAAATTATTACCTTGTGGGAGTTTGTAAGATAGCTAAGCCACAAAAAAAATTATATAATATGAACCTAACCGTGAAAGGTGGTCTATTTTATCGTCCACAATCGCTATAAAATCTTCCGCAAGTTTATAAGATGTTTTATCGGACATTTTGGGTGTCAACGTATCATCTAGGATTTCTTGGTTCGCGTTGAACAAAGTTTTTGTGGAAGATAAGTGCGAATCGTTTATAGTGTACCTATTAAGGTACATGCTGTTTGAGTAGGAGGGGTGACGTACTTTGACGAGAGGGGCTACAGGGTCCTCCGCGTACTTGGGCCGACCCTTGGCTCCGAGAAACGGAAAGGAATAGGATTTAATAAGCTTGCAACTATCTAATTTATATCTAGTGAAGCATTTATTATAATTATTCAGAGATTTGTTATTTAATTTTAAATTAAGTTTCTTGAACCTTTTTATTAAATTAGCTGTAACTAGCGATGTTAAACGGCTCGTTTTAAGCAAATTTTTAAAAACGGCTAACTCAATATTTCATCCAGAAAAATATTACGCAAGTCTGAAGATTTTGCTCATAGAAGGAATAAAGGTCTATACATATATTATAGAAATCTAGAAGCTTAGGCAATAAGTTAGCCGTTTTAAAAAATAGGCTCAAAATGAGCCGTATAACAACACTAGTTGTAGCATGTCGTCTTCTGCATAATTTAACTATCATTCTTAATAGCTTAATTAATGTCATTTTTTTAAAAAAAAAAAAAATTAGTATATTTGTTATATAAAATATGGCAAATTTTTCTGGAATTCTTGAGGATTATAAATCACTCAATTTTAAACCATTTATGTTAAATTTTTTTTTAAAAAAATATGATTTTAATGAAAATTGTTTTTATTTCGCAATGATTACTTTATAAATTCGAAAAAAATTTAAAGCTATTAACTCTCTTAAATGTATGTGTATATCGATATTTATGTTAATTTAAAAAAAATATATATATACAAAAAATTCATAGCCCATGTGAAACTCATAAAGCAGGTACTCTGCAGTAAAGTCAAGCAGGGCTCGTTGAATATTTAAAATAATCCAATAGAGATTTAAAATCAATATTTCAAGTTTGTGATTAGTGTTGTTAATTAAATGGCTAGATATAGCCAATTTTAAATAAGATGATAGCTACTCGAGATTTTGGATGTCCAAGCCTTTCTGCCATCTATGAGCGAAATCTCGAATCTTGCATTATTTTTTGGCTAAAATATTGGATTAAGCGTTTCTAAAATTTGGGCCGCTTAACAACGCCATTTGAGATTTCGCCCCTATAAGCTTTTCAAAAACTTTGACCGCGTCCGGAAGTGTGTATTAAAAGAATTAGCGGGTTTCGGGTGGCCTATGACGGATTTTTTTTTTACTTGGGAATATATTTCCGGTAAAATTATATTGTATGAATTTAAAAATGGTCCACGAAAAATAATTTTTTAAAAATTTGAGAAATTTCAAATCATCAAGTATTCCGAATAAAACTAATGGCATTGTATTTTTTCTTTTTTAAAATAATAGTAATAAGGTAAATACTTTTTGTTTGATTTGAAAGGTGACATTTTGAAATACATGCTTTTGCGTCCTAAACCTTTTAATATCGATAAAAGGAAATATAACACTTTAATTAAATATATATTATTTGGACACCTAGCGGTGATAATTAATATACCATATTAAAATTAAGGATTTCGGTTAAAATGTGAGATAAGTTATGATACCTTTATGGGCGACATCGTAATTGTCGAAAGTGAGCGTTTTGGTCAGATCCGTAAGGCTGTGTTTGAGATGAGAAAAGGCATCTTTTTTAAAAATAATTTACATCCATATAAAAATAATATATATGGCAGAGATATGATGATTGGATGAATCTGAAAATCGATATATTTCAACTTCATAGTGGAGATGGACACTGGGCTTATGAAGAATGGGTGTGTTGTAGTTGTTCAAAATGGCAATTAAATAATTTAAATAACAGCATATTATAAGGAATGTCAATCAATTTGGATTATGAATTTTGTTAAGGTTTATTAGAGATTTATGCTGATAAATGTGTTAATCGAGATTTGATTTATTTGATATCATTTAAATTTAATCGAAAAATTAGGCTCATTTTAGGTCCGAAGCGACCATGTTAAGTAGTTTTCTTTAGCTGGGGTCTAGATTTCTGAATTCATTATATTTTATAATTCGTTCCAGGACGGGCTCGGGACTTAATAAGTTTTTCTATTTAGCAATTATAAAAAATATTACTAATTTATAATAGTTATATTTTTAGTAAAACAATATTGTAATGTTAAATCTCTTAAAATATCCTTGTCCTAATATCAAAACCCCAGAAAATAATAATAATGAATAATCTTATTGATCAAAAAACAAAATACGCACGTGACTATTTTCGATCAATCGAAAATTGACTTCTTGATTGACGTTTGATTAAATAATATTAATCATACATACTTTAAACCTATGACAGTTATAATATATATATATATAGCATTATAACTTGCAAAACTATAAATGATAATAATTAATAAACAAATAATATTACCGTTAAATACATTGGACAAGGAGCCGTGTCTATTCGCCTCGTCTTTATTATCGACATCAGTTTGAGCGTGAGGTGATAGAAAACCAACGGAAGGTGTGGGACGAATTCGGCACGACGAGCTTAATAAACTCCTATATTTTTGGAGGGGACACGAATTTAGACTATAGGACTGGACAGGCGATTTTACTATTACGATGGACGGGGGCCTAGATTTTGCGTAAGTGTGTGAGTGGGAGAGGGTAGCCGTATGATTACTCGATCTCTCAAGTCCCTCGTTGTTCCTTTCAAAGGTATTAAGGTCTTGCGGAATCGGGTTATCATCCTGTAAGATATATTTCGGTTTGCCGTAATCAAACTTTTTATTTTCCAAGATTACTGACTCTGGGGAATCGAACAAAAACTTAGAGGCGTTAGCTGGAGAAAACATGGGAGGCGTGAGCCTTTCATAGGCGTAGGTTTTGTCGCGAACTCGTGCGGAAGAATTATCCATTTCGATACTGCTGTTGCTGTCGAAGTCATGGCTAGACAAATCATTTACCAAAGTTCGGCCTATAATGTTCGTCCTCCCGCCGCTTTTATCAAGTTCATTTATGAGTGAGTTTTCATGACCGAATCTTTATTTTTTTTAAAATATAAAATATATATTGTATAATCTAAAAAACAACAAATAATTTTTGATCGTTAAGAAAAAAAAATGGCGGAATAGAAAGAACGAAATTAAAAAATCTAAAGGTGAAACCTTTGTTCGGAAGAAGACTTCCTAGTTGTGCGATGAAAAACTTCCCCACCAAACCTTCTGTTTCGCAATCGAAAGGGTCTGAGCATTGTAAGAAGAAATTTATCACCCTTATTCTCCATTCCATCCTTTGCGGTAGAGTCGGCAAACATTTCGGTAGGGTCACCGTTATCGGGCGAAATGGAAGAGATTTGATTGGTTAGTTTAAGCGGATCCAAGGCTACGCTTAACTGGAGAGCTATTTGTGTGGTGAAAATAAAATACTTTTTTTTTAAAAGCATCAAAAAATCCCTAAAAAGAGTGTAGTTTTTATAAATCATATAGTAACTAACAACATAAGTTGCGAATAATAAGGGATAAAGCAAATTAAGGGAGATAGACTGGTTCAAATAAAAATTAACATTCCTTTAAACAAACCGGAAGTATGATTTAGTAAGGGTTCATTAGTTGATCTTCTATCGCCATTGGAATTACGCGTGATACGATGATCGTCCGATTTTGGCAGAAAATGTTGTATGATCTTGTTCAGGCTAAGCTTGGCTTTGCGATGGGAAGTTTTAGAAGTAAAAGTTTTATCGTTTTTGCTGGGATAAAATACAAAAGTTGATTTGATTTTGAAGTGGGAAAAAATATGTTTTTAAAAAAGTGATAAACTTCTCGAAGAACTAAGCCAGTGATGCTAACCCCCTCCCCCCCTTACAAATAATGTCAAAAATATAAAATGATTCAAAGACTAAAGAAAGGAGGGGGGGGCAGAACTAAATAGCAGGTGTTTCGCTCTTTTGCGATAAAATTTTTAAAATATTTTAGAGGATAAAACTAAGTATATCATTGGTCTACTCTGGGCGCTATTTAGGGTTAAGTAAAACTAGTTCTCATTACTATTTACCAACCTTGGGTAAAATGGTAAGCTCTTCGGGATGACAAATATCAAATTTAACATATAAAAAAAGATTTTTTAAAAATTTTTATTGTTATAATTAGCACATTTTTATTTAAAAATTAATCTTCACAATATGTGTACCAGTAAAATGGATCATTCCCTACCACAACTTGAATGTGAGGACATTTCGTAAGCTTTATTCAGTATTTGCGTTTATTTATTTGGATATATAATCTTTGTAATTTTATCGTTTTTAGAGTTTGATAATTTTTTCATATGCAATTGAATGAACTTTTATTTGCCATTTTACCCTCTGACGTTTAGCTCCAATGACTATGAAGACTATTCTAGATGAACCAGAAATTTGAGAACAGGTTATTTTTAAAAATAAGGAGGTCTCGTTACTAAATGAACATACCGTTAGGTAGTATATATATATGGAAATGTATCTTTTGACTCAATTTAAAACAATTAGTTCTAACAGTTTGTCTTTTTACTCCACCCACCGGATAGCACTGAACTCCGTTACCCTTGAGATATCCCTCACATAGTGTTGTTAATTTTCTTGATCGTAAAATTTACGACCCAATTTTGTGGTCAGAGCAGGTTTAATCGATTTTTAGACCCAAACCCCGGGCCTGGGTTTTACATAACCAACCATTTAACAACACTACCTTCACATATATCTCTTGATATTTCATGAAATGATTGATTAATCGTTTCCACCGCTTAGTTTTAAGACTCGGATTTTGACTAATACAATATTCCTTTTCATAAATATACTATTCAAATCAGGATATTTTTTTTTAAATACATATATATAGTTTAATATTTTATTACCCCGTTAATTTTTCTATGTCATAAAGCGAGAAACATTTGGCATGCCTGATGGAGGGCGACAGCTGTTTGAATTCATCCAATCTTTTTTTAATTTTGGAATCAAACAGACCATTTTTAACTTTAATTTTGACGACATCGGTATTTATCAAGGGTTCAGAGTCGCCCCTTTCGGTAATCAATTTTGGAGAACTGCCAGAGAAAAGTACTGACGGGGATGGGATGCAAGCAAAAGTAGTTGTGCTTTCTGGGAAAGGAGGTATCTGAGATTCTGGACTATTAACGTATGCTGGATTAGGTAGTGACATCCTATCTTTCCGATATCTGGCATAGGATGGATTGGAGAAATTTGAGTCTTCCTGTTTTAAGAAAAATAATATTTGCTTTTTATATACTATATAAATAACTTATAAAAATAAAATATTAATTCTTTAATAACAAAATGTTGGTTTTGAAATGATTTGGTCTGAAATATTTATAATATATATATATACAACTATAAGCTAAAGTTTTATGTATAATATTTCTAAAGTAACTGTCTCATAAACTGACTGTATATATAAGATGTATATCAACGAAATGTCTTACGTCTCTCAAGTTGAAAGTCAATTCCAAATTTTGTATGAAATGGGGAGCGAATTCGGGGTACATTTCCAGTACATCTAACAAATCCTCCCTGTGAATCCTGTGTAAATCGCAATAGGTTAACGCTCGGACATTGAAGTTAGATTTTCCGATGGAAGAAAAAATGCAAGGATTTTCGCCGAAAATATCGTCCTTCCCTTAATAAAATTCATTATTTTTTTAAAAAATAAATAAAATATAATAGAGGTCTGCAATTGGCAGATTTTAAACCGCTCCCGTCCATTTAAAAAAAAAATATAAACAGCTAACTCGTCCGTGCGCCATTTATCTAAAAAAATTGTATTTTCTTTAACCAGCCCCGTTCAATTTTTAGAAATTATTTTATTGATTTGGGCTCTTTATTTATTTTTATTTTAATAAATTTATTTTTAACTTATAAAAATATGCAATAAAAATGATTTTTTAAAATAAATAGTAGGGCTGTTCTATTCATTTCAAACAGAAAAAAAGATATCTCAAATTCGCCAGGCCATTATTTAAATATTTATCTGCATTGTAGACCTCTGGATCAAATATTATGTCGCGTAATAGAGATGAAATAATATTTCATATTAGTTAAATTCTATATATTTAAAATTAACTTTAAAAAAAAATAAGGAGATCTTTGTTGAAGAAAACCTCAAATAAGCGTCATTTTTTTTTTAAAAAAAAGGCTTATAATAAGATTTTATTTAAAAAATATATAAACAACCTATCGAGATTTGGTTATAAGTGGGCTAAAATTTTGTGCCATCTAATATCTTGAGGTTTAGGTTATTCTTTTTTTTGGCTAAATTCTTCTATCATCTAAAATATTTTAGCTAGGTAATCTTTTTATAGCTAAATTCTTCTATCATCTAAATATTGAGACTTAGGTTAATCTTTTTTTTCGGCTAAATTCTTCTAACATCTAAAATATTTGTAGATAATTCTTTTTTTCGGCTAAATTAATCTATTTGAGGCTTAAGTTATTCTTTTTTTGGCTAAATTCTTCTATCATCTAAAATATTTGAGGCTTAGGTAATTCTTTTTTTTGGCTAAAATCTTTTCAGCTATTTTTGTTTTAGAAAAAAACATTTAATCCATAGCGCATAATTTCTTTGAATGCAAGATAAATCCAGGTATTTTTGGCAACACTAATGGAAACGAGATCAAATTATGCACTTATTTTCGCTACTCAATAAGCGTGGCTCATGATATAACTTATAAATATAATTCTTATTCAATGTAAAAAAACTAAGAAGCTCTTATATCTCAATTATATAATTGTTTGGAAGAGAATGGCTTACATAAATCTCATTCCAAAGACGAATGCTAACAAAGGATAAACACAATTCCTCTAAGACTTGGGGAACTAGATTTAAAAAGAATTCCCGTTTTTCTCGAGGATTAATCTACGCTTTATATTTTATTTTATTTTATACAATCGCGGAAATATTATCTCAAAATACCTTCAGAATAAAATGTCATGGTTTTAATTATTAACTTAATATGGCCATAACTTCCTCGTCTTTCAGGATTTCGATAGAACCCTTGGCTATGAAATACAAGTTCATGAGCACGTCTCCCTTGTGAACTAGAATATCGCCAGGCGGCGCATGCGTAGTTCTAGTTAATTAATTTTTAATAAAAAAAATATATAAAACATCAAAGTAGATCAATAATATCAGAGACCTGCTGACTCGGACCTCCCGGGCATATTTAAAAATAAGGGGGCGGGCTTAAAAATACAAAATTAGGACCGGGGCTAAAAAAAAATTTTTTAAAAAAAAATGCCCAAGTTGGGCCGTTTATATGGTACCTCTGCAGATCTCCGAATAATACCAGAGGCCTAATGATTCACATTGTTTCCCGCTTACCCGAATAAAATTTCTGGGGTAATAGGATTAGAAAGGTTAAAGCAGGAAACTATAAAAAAAAAACATAAGCTTAAAAACTTGAATCGCAAAGATAGGGCTCTTAAGCAACCGGGACTCGCTTTGGAAAACGCTTTGCAGTTGCTGAAGAGATTTCGATTTAAATGTAAACATATATCGGCTTGTAAACATTCGGGAAATCCTTTTAATACCTGTTAGAAAAAAATAAATGTTATTGTATACATTTTGAATAATTAATTTGTTAAGATAATAAAATTAACAAAAGAGAATATAAACTTAAACTTAAAAAATTTAACTTATTCCCAGTTTTTTAATTTTCTTTTCTTCCCTTTCATCATTCCCAGAGAAAGAAAGAAAGAAAGAAAGAAAGAAAGAAAGAAAGAAAGAAAGAAAGATAGAAAGAAAGAAAGAAAGAAAGAAAGAAAGAAAGAAAGAAAGAAAGAAAGAAAGAAAGAAAGAAAGAAAGAAAGAGAAGGAAGGAAGGAAGGAAGGAAGGAAGGAAGGAAGGAAGGAAGGAAGGAAGGAAGGAAGGAAGGAAGGAAGGAAGGAAGGAAGGAAGGAAGGAAGGAAGGAAGGAAGGAAGGAAGGAAGGAAGGAAGGAAGGAAGGAAGGAAGGAAGGAAGGAAGGAAGGAAGGAAGGAAGGAAGGAAGGAAGGAAGGAAGGAAGGAAGGAAGGAAGGAAGGAAGGAAGGAAGGAAATTGAAAATTAACGATTTTATTTCAAAGAAGAAAAAAAAATAAATATTTTTATACAGAATTCATATCAATGCCATTGGTATAAGACCAAGCGTGTTGGAAATATTCTTCGACTCTGTGCTTTAAAGGATCCGGGATTTTGTGAAACTTTATGAATTCTCGAACTTTCATCATTTGGGCGTGGTATCTGGCCGTGCCAGAATAGAGTCTTTGTATGATAGCGGATACGTTACCGAAAACGCTCGCATACATTAATGCTAAAAATAAATTGGATATACATCATTTACGTCTAATAACCCTTTTATTAAAGCAACTTTCCCAAGACCTATTTAAAAAAAACCATGATGATTAGTTTTGATCGGTTTAAACGGGGACCCTTCGTCATATATAATTTATTAATTTTTTTTTTGTAGCAGAAAGGAAAGATCGAAAAACCCAAATGTAGCCACGGGAAAAAGGGAGGGGTGGAGGTGAGAAGAAATATTTAAAAAAAAAATTTTATTTTCTAAAATAAAATAGTTTTAGGATGAATGACTTAATCGGAATATATTTAACAAATGTAAAAATGGTATATAGGGCATTAAATATTTTTAAAATATATATATATATATAAATTTAAATATTCATTTTACATCCAATCAGCATGACGCATATGGAAAACACTTTTTCGGTGTTGGTGTTCGGTGATACGTTCCCGAAACCTACGCTGGTTAAGGAGCTGAACGTAAAGTAAAGCGCGGTTATATAACGCGATTTTAAAGATGGCCCGCCCTGGGTTGTGTTGACGTAATACTGATTTTTGATATTTAAAAAAAAATATATATAATGAATTTATATAACGAAATATATATAATTTAAAAAAATATCTTTAAAAAGGTATTATTGATCTAAATTTTCCTTAAAGTTCAAGTTGGAATAAAAGATTGATCATTCTAGTCAATAATAATAATAATAATAGGTGTAAAATATACATTTAAGTCCCGCAACAAATGGTTAATGGTATATAAGATAGAAGGTTATTGATTTTTTTTAAGTGTCTTTTTTTTTAAATAGGGGAGACAGGAGTAAAACGATTGGTAATTTGCATTTTTATACATGAATATTTTAAAACAGAAGGAATATGTAACCCAATCCCTTTCATATAAAATAAATAGAAATGTAGTTCTCTACCTATAATATTGTAGGAGCTATGATTAACTATGCCAACTGTGCCATCATCGCCATAAAGTGGGGTTAAAAATAAATTTTGAACATGAACTTTAATGTTTATATTGAGTGCAAAAATATTAGCAATTGATATCTTTTAAGAAGTTATATAATAAAAACTAATCAATATTAATAAGGGAATGTAAATAAATTATCAAAAATTGCACATTTTTTGAGTGTACCCATACTAGGCACATAGTGAATTTCAATTATTCTTAACCTTTTCGATTATCTTTAACATTTTTATTACACACATATATATATATAACACATAAATTATTGATTAATGTTACTCTTGGCTCAAAAATATCTTTTTAATATGTATTAGATGATAGCGTGGCTTCACTTAAAAGTTATAGGTTTCAGATAAATCTTATTTTATTAAGACCTTACGGCACATTTATACAAAATTGAAAATCATGATGATAAATATTTTTTTTTTTAAAAAAACAAATTATACTAGAAGGTTAAAATTTTATAATTTTTGAGTAAAAAATGGGTTTTTTTTTAGCAAAATATGACAAACCAGAAAGATTTACCAAATGATGAACATAAGATAAGAAATATATAAAAATACATCTTCATACCAAATTTATAGTTTTTATGCTCAAGGGTAGTGCTGTTAAACGGCTCGATTTAAACCGATTTTAAAAAACGAATATTGTCTAAGCTCGAGATTTCGTTAATAGATGTCCAAACCTTTGTGCCACCTAAGAAGCAAAATTTTAAGGCTTGCATAATATTTTTTCCTAATAAAATATTGAGTTAGCCATCTTTAAAAATCGGCTCAAAATGAGTCGTTTAACAAACACTACTCAAGGGTTAAGAATTTATTCGCGTTAACATTTTCACCCCCATCAATCGCGTTACCCCGATCTACCTTATTAGATACCGCCGCAAATTATATTTATACACAAAAATTTATCGTTGTCTTTGAATAGCCTGTTTGACTCAGAAGCTAGAGACCTTAGGAGATGAATCCCTATATGGGTATCTAATCCAGGTCAGTGTTTATTAAATTTTCTTTTGGCAAGGCATATATAATATAATTATGGAAATTTATATAAATATAAATATATTTGAAAAGACTTTGAATTGAAATTAACCTGATGCGTTTGTCTGGATAATTCATCTAGCCATCCTATTTTGGGTTCAGATAAAAACGGTCTTTCCGCGTGACCAATAGCGTACCATATACACGCCAACCAATGAGCTTAAAAAGCATAATTTAAGTTTCATTAACTCATATTTTTTTTTATCTACATATATTTCATTTATATTAGAGAGCCTCTTAAAAAAGGGAACTAGATTATCGGTGAAAACGAAATTGAACATATCCTATGAAATTAAGAATCGGAGCTTCTAATTACCAATCAGAGCGAAGGTAGCCATGAGCAATAAAAGAACAGCTGTGCCATATTCGGAATATCGGTCCAGCTTTCGAGCCACTCTCACGAGCCTCAATAATCTGGCAGTTTTGAGCAATCCGATTAATGTGGTCGTCTATATTTGACAGACATGTAATCATCCATTTATATATATATATTTTAAAAAAAATAAATTAAAATAGAAATTTTAAAATTAACTCGCTTATTATTTTTGGAACCGGAAGGAAATACAATAACTATAGTTGGTTCTTTGTTCTTAGCTGGGGGTTATAGCTTGCAAAAAATGGTGGTAAGACCTAGCTCCTCCCCAAAAATTATGACTACCGACTGGGGAGGGTGGGGGGTTTAAATATAGCTCAATTTTGAAGTAAGTAAAACCTATAATGTCAAATTATCATTTTAAAAATAATATATTATCACCCTATATATATACATTATCATTTATAATTGAATAAAAAGAAGGAAATTTTATTATTGATTTGATTTTGCCAATACAAATGTGAAGGCCTCACTTTCCGTTGAATGTGTAATAGTGTGCACAAATTGAACGACGCTGCGTTGAAAAAACGTAAGCGTAGCTATGTTTAAATTGAAGCGTTATTATATTTTTTCAATATGAAACGTCTAAATTCTTGACAAAAAAAAGGGCTTGCCCTATATATATAATTAGCAAATCTTTTTGTAATATAATTCTATATGCTAAAAATATTATTGTATCATTTAATATAATTATTTTACTTTTTAGAAGATGGTGTACCCATGCCTATCACTTCAAAATTTAAAAACGTTTCAAAAAACGCTAGATATTTTGTTTTTCAATAAATAATTTAAAACGAAAATGTTTCCAATTTAAACAAATGCATTATTTGCGTTTTGAAATGTTGTGTTGAAACATTCAATTTGTGCGCACTATAAGTAAGTCCTGACATTTTTTTACATTGAAAAAATTTTTTTATTATGATTTTCTATTAATATATTTAAAATTATCCCTTACTTTAATCTTTAATGAATTATTTATGAACAATTTTATTCCTTTGTGAATGCAATTTTTTAAAGTATTTCCTGATTTTTTTATTCATTATATCTAAAAGAAAATAATTACAAATTGTTTTATGCCATTTTTGATCCAAAATATAACTGTTATAATAATAAAAAAAAACTTTATTAAAATTAGTATCTCTTTTATCCCACAAAAGTAGTGTTGTTAAACGGCTCGTTTTGAGTCGATTTTTAAAAACGGCTAACTCAATATTTTCGCCAGAAAAATATTGCCTAGGCCTCGAAATTTCGTTAATAGATGTCCAAACCTTTGTATCATCTATGAGCAAAATCTTTAGGCTTGCATAATATTTTTTCTGAATAAAATATTGAGATATCCGTTTTAAAATCGGTTCAAATCGAGCCGTTTAACAACACTACCCCAAAAGTTATAGATTGATGCATCTCATCTTTTCATCCTATAATAACCATGACTATTAAACAACCTAATCTATACAAGCAACTGCACATAGATATATATATATATAACATGTTATTAATAAAATAGGATACTACCTCATATAAATAATATTTATTACCTATACACTTTAAATTTTATAGTCATTGTAAAGTATAAGTAAGATACCAAATTTGAGATTTAAAATAAAACGAGCAATAAAAACAAAATTAGCACCTCTTCAAGGTATGTAGGATAGTGTAGTGTCATAAATAATGCTAATGAAATTATAATGATTCTTTAAATTTGTCCGATTAAATATCCTTAAAATAAGCTAAATTTAAATAAAAAATTATGGGCCCAAGCCCATGAAAGAATTGTTTTTAAACCCCAAGCCTGCAAGAAAATATGCTATGTCTCTGATTCCAATTCTATTATAAAGTAAAATTTATCTAATTTGAGATCTGATAACTGCGGCATCCTTAATTTGACCAAAATTATGAGTCCCAATCAAATCATAACTACTATAGAAAGTAAAAGTATTGTTAAATTGGGCTAATTGTCTAAGTCGGGAAAAATCTTGGTCCTATGCCAAAATTAGACAGGTTTTTACTGTATTATAAAATTTAATTGAAACAGCCATCTTATAAAGAAAGTAAGAAAGAAAGAAAGAAAGAAAGAAAGAAAGAAAGAAAGAAAGAAAGAAAGAAAGAAAGAAAGAAAGAAAGAAAGAAAGAAAGAAAGAAAGAAAGAAAGAAAGAAAGAAAGGAAAGGAAAGAAAGTGTAAAATTTGCGACACTAAAATGCACTCAATCTAAAATTAATTTGCGATAATATAATAATGAAAATTCTCATTCTTAAAAGTTTTAGTTTTTTTTGTGCTATATACTTCGTCAGTTTGAGAGCCAAAAAGTAGTAAATCAAATGGGATGGCTGCTAATAGATCTATGATTAACCAACCTCTGAAGTAGTGAATGGCTATCTTTCTCGGATCACTAACAACCTCGTCATTATTGTTAACAAAAGTGGTTCTGAAATTTATAATTATATCTATCATGAACATTATGTCCACCACCAGGTCAAGTATAACTAAGGGATCTTTGTATCCTTGAGACGCCGATGAGGAGTAGGAAGACTTGGCAAAGCTTTTTGTTGAATTCTTATCAGAAGGTTTGTAAGTCTCTGATCGGATTTCTAAGGTAAAAATATAAGAGCTATATATCAGAAATATACAGGATAAGCTAATTTAAAAGCAGTATTTTTAAATAACTCATGTAAAAAGATCTCAATTTTTTTTAAAATTAATAATGTCTTTTTGTTGTAGTTAATCTGATTTTACATCTAATTTGAACAATCGATAAAGGTTCACTATATGTTACAGCTATTTTAATAACCTAGCTAGTTTAAAAATTGGCCATATGCTTAGTCAGTATGGTTAAAATAAAATTAAAAGTAATGGTAAAAGCGAAATGTTAAAATAAAAAATTAGTCGAAAAAATTGGAAAATATACAAAATAATGATAAAGGGGTGTTATATAACGATAACTATAGATTCGGTACTAAAAATTCATTATATTAATAAAACGTATTTTTTATTATATTATCTAACTAATCAAAAACTAATAACAATGAGGTATATATATATTACAAAAAACAATTTAAACACAAACAAGGTTATAAGCTAAAATAATCGTAACATATTAAATAGGTTATGTTCAAATAATACCAATTAAAGTCAGGGTTGTGCGTTTGGCCGGTTAAATACGTTTCGGTCGACCGATATTTGACCGGTCAAATATGGTCAAATACGGTCAAATGTGGTCAAATTCAAATATATGTTTTTTTAAGTTAATAATAACTTTATTTTGAATAATATAGTAAAATGAAATCTACAATATTAATTTTTTAAATCATTGTCATTCAATAATTAACGTGTAGCTATCTGTAGCAGAGTTTTGTTCTGATTCATATTCAATATTATCATTTTCTTTAATATTTTTTAATCAATTTTCCTGATGTCTTAGATCTTCAATCGATTTCTATTTTCATAAGAATATTAACCCAAATCGACCTATTTCTTTCTAAAGAAGTAGAACTAGGAATTGTTAGTCTCTTAATGGGCAGGGTGGACAAAGTTTAATCTATTAACTAGAGGTCGGAATTGATTGTTTCTGGAAATTACTACTTTCCACATAATTTGCTATATTAAACATGCTGTTTTTGCTTCTGAAATTAATTATATCACTTAAAATATTTTGGTCATCACTACCTTGTAAAATAGCTAATTCTTGAATTATATCACATACTTCATTAATTACACCACTAGTTAGTTCTCCTCTTGATATTGTGGACACAAAAAATAAGCAAACATTGTGATCACATGTATTTACATCGTTTTTCCCTTTTTTAAACATATCTTTGATTTATTTTTCCTTTAAATTTTTTAGAGTATTTGACCGTATTTGACAGGTCAAATACTCCTCCGGTCAATTGACTGAATTTGACTTGTCGATTGACCGACTTGCCAACCCTGATTAAAGTTATATAAAATATCAATATAAATTTAAATATATATAAAAAAAAATCAATCTCAATTTAACAAAGGGAGAAAAATAAAGTTTTTATTTTAAAAAAACTATCACGTTTATAAACTCGCTAATACTATGTTTGTTAATAGCTCTATAATATTATTGATCTATAATGCATGATCAAAAGATCGCCTTGTAAATTCAATAAAAAAAATTTACTTCCTATATGCACTTCTGCATATAAAATGTAAGAAATGGAAATTTCCCTACACTTAGAAAATATAATGAGTAGTTGGGTTATTTTACTGAAAGACGACGTTGTTTGAAGCGAGTTGACAGTAGTGGTACCCCTAGAAGTTGTTGATTTAGTCAACAGTTCCTCGTCTTCATTGTGGTTGAGCAAGAAGGCTGCCACGTAAGGAGTAAAAACGGCAGTATAAATGACTAGCAATAAGACTATCCAATCCCAAAATGCTTTGAAAGGGGAATAATGTACTATTATGTACCTGTGCTTGTGATGCGATTCCTGAAATCTGTATTGAGGTAAAATCTCGGCTCCCAACGTTAACACCTTAATATCGTGTTTATGAAGCAATTTTAAAGTATATAATTAATATAATATTGAAAAAAAGAATCAACACATTATAACGACAATTTATGAATGAATATCTTGAAATTAATTAATAATAAGTAAAACGGTTGGTAAATGTGTAATGAGTTACTTTTTACAGATCTAAAATTGTAACCAGCTACTTTTAAAAAAGGAACGTTAACAACCCTATTATTTGTATGATCTATAAATTGTTAGATTTGCTATATATGCTAATATTGTATTTTATCACATTTTTAAATTAGAATAAAAGTTAGATAACCCCTCTCCCCTCATACTGACCCCTGATAAATTAAGCTATCTGGAAAACAAATAATGGCGTAAAATCGAATGGGGATATCCGAATAATACTTAACAACTATAGTGTCGATCGTAAATAGTCAGCAATACTCTTATCCTTATCTAAATAAATTTTGAGGTTATTATAAAAAAATACTCAACTCAGAAAAATTGTTTTTTAGATAGTCGCATCATTAATAAGAAATTCTGCCAAATTTTTGTTTGCTCTATATAGAAGGGAAGCAAATCTTTATCACCATCTAGTCTATTTTAAATGTACTTAATTAATTATTCTAATTTTATTTGAATTTTTGCATAATTTTAAAGGTCCAATATATAATTTATATATATTATGTTATATTGAGATGAACAACTCATATTTAATTAATTAGTATTAGTTTCGGTCTTTCATTCCTGTCTAAATCTGTTTTCCGGCTAAACGGTGCAATGACGATATTACCCCGGCCGCTACCCCCTGATTCAAGCAAAAAAATAGGAAATTTAGATCTCCTTCCACTCCAACCTCCCCTCATCTTTATCCCTCTTATTTGCCCCTCATTTTTACTTTATTTTAATGAAGATAGTTTTGAACAACTCCTTACTCCCATTCGATTATAATGATGATTTTGCTCTTCATACTCTTTCTGGTGGAAATTTTTGCCTGTCAATAACGTCATATATTGATTTATAAACCTGAAATGTTTTTTTAAAATACTTATAAATTTTTGTTAAAAATTTCTATCACAAACATATAAAAAATACTATAATATTAAAACACTGTAAAATTAAAAGTACTAAAAAAAAATTAAAAATTCAATTTCATAATTTTAATTCCTCCCCAAAAAAGAAACCATATATTTATCTAAAAAAATTTCTATCTGTATTTTATGACGTATATGTTATGTTAGCGACAATGTGTTATTTTTTCAACTTTAAATCATTTCTTAAAGCGCGTTTTTAAAATTTAAAAATGTGATCTTACCGGAATTATATTCCATCATGTTTGGAATACCTAACTATAGACAATTTCGTAGTTAACCTATAAATTATATAAAAAATTTATGGAAAATCAAATATAAATTTTATTAATTTCTAAAGTTTATGGCAAAATTTTCTCAAATTTATAGGGTAGGTATTCCAAACATGATGGAATACATTTCCAGGAAAATCAGATTTTCAAATTTTTAAAAACGCGTTCAAAAAATGATTTAAAGTTGAAAAAATAACACATTGCCGGAAAAACACATTGAATAAAATTCTTGATCCTCGTTTGTAAAAAAGCGAAATTTTTGTGCCAAGATTTTTTTATAAAAACTAATAGGTTAAATGGCAAAAAAAAATGCCCGTTTGTGGATGGAAAAAAATCAAAAAAATAAGTCAATCTTATAAATTTTAACACTAAATATAATAATATAAAATAATTTTAATTTTAACCTCATTAATAAATAATGCTACTTTTTACAATTGATCGAAAGATATCATTTTCTAAGTTTTTTAAAAATGCTTAATAAATAAGAAAAAACATTTGATCCATATCTAATTTATTAAAACAAAACAAAAACATTACAAAAACTATTTATAGGTCGTGTCGCGAAACTAGAATAGGGTATCAAATACCCCTAATAATAAATTTCCTATCTAATATATATACAGTCTCAGTTATCAAAATATGATCGTTTTCCGATCATCTTAAAGTATTTTTAAAAAAGAGAGGAGACTCTACATATGGGTTTTTAGCCCAAAAGCCCGTAGGCCCAATGTTTAAAAATTTTTAGCCTGCCCTTACAACCCGCCCATAGTTTTAAAAAAAATATACCCTCCCGCCAGCCCATTAGTCTAAAATTTTTTTATCCGCTCGCCGGCCCATTATTTATACAAAATTTTTAACCCGTACTCGTCAACGTAAAATTTAAATATGCCCATCCTTTCAATTTTTTTTTTTAAAAATATGACTCAGTTTCAGCGCTACATTCTCTAAAAAAAAATGTGTTTTATAGTATAGGAATAATATCCAATTTAAATTACGGATAGGGGATTTATTCGATCCAATAAAATATAAATAATAAAATCAATATTTATTGATATTATTTGTATTTATAAATGCAAAAATAATGATTGAATCAACATTTTCTGGTTTCGAAACACATTCTTCTTAGTTCCAAAAACCTCACAGCAATGCCAACTAAATCCTCGTTTAGAAAGAAGCAATAGTTGCAGGAAAGTAATTTTAATCAATTGTGTATAAATTGTAGCCTAAACTAAGTAGCCTAAAATCTTGTCACATTTAAACACCTTGTTATATCATTAGATACTGTGCTCTCTCCTGTAACAACTTCATCCTTCCATCTGTTGTGGTCTAATTTTGGCGTGGATACCATCTATTTCAAACATTCGCATTTATAATTTAATACCCTTTAATTGAATTCTCTTTGGTAAAAAATCAGATTTTTCATTCATGTAGATGTTATATCCTTCCATGCAAATCAAATCCAACATGTTTTCGATATATATATTTATTTTTTTACTTCATTTTAATTTCTTCTGAAGAAAACATCCTCAGTTGTAGTAACTTTGGTATTAAAAATGTTGAAATTTTTTAACCTGCCCGCCTATAGTTTAAATTTTTCTAATAACCCGCCCGTCCATTCTTTAAAAAAATTTAGCCAGCGTTCTGGCTAAAAATCAGCCCGTTGCGAGCCACTACAATATATCCTAATGCTGTTTTTTTTTGCCAACTACCCCTTAATTTTACAAAAATAAATGGAATGTTATATATAAAACCAACCTTGAAACAGGAAAAATTTGATTAATAATTATTATATTATATGTCATGGTAAAAAAAAAGGGTGTCAAAGTAGGAACGACGTGATACAAATCGCTCATTTCGTTACTATACCTTTTGCGTTATTATTAGTCTTTTACTTTTGTAATAGCATTTTTAAGCCCATTTTAAATTGTTTTTAATTATATTTACATTTATTAACAATTATATAAAAAATTCTGCAAAATTCAAAATATTTTTTCCCAATATAATATATCCAAATGGATATCAATTTTAAAATTACTAATAATTTGTGATAATTGTTTTTTTTTATATTAATAAATAAAAAATTAATAGATTAAAAGATAACATTTTATAATTTTTCAATTATAAAAAATAATAATTAATAATCATTAAAATCAAATTTAAAAAAATAATATAAAAATATAAAATTTACTATGATACTTTAAAACAACATGAAAGAAATCATCAAAAAATCGATATTTGGGAATTACAGATTAAAAGTGGGGTAATATGGCAAATATTTTGGCACCCAAATCAATGGAATTAATTATTTTTTGTTAAACGGCTCAATTTTTTTTAAAAAAACGGATAACACAATATTTTAGCCAAAAAGAAAAATTACTCAAGCACCTGTAGATTTTTGCTCAAAGATGACTGAAAGGTTTAGGTTAGACATCTAATAACGAAATTTCGAGGCTTTTTAATCTAAAATTGGTTAAAACGAGCATTTCAACAAGCAGTAATTTGGAGAGTTTTTTTTTTTACTGAATGTTAATCATATAAAATAACAGCAAAGTTTCTAAACTACCCTATAGTTCCTTAAATCTAACTTTAGGCTTACGAAATTTCTGATAGGGGGGAATCGGGGAAAGTTGGGGACATGGAAATGTTATTCCGATTCAATTTATTTTTAAACTGTTATCTTATAAAATTAGAAAATTTAAACTTAATATAACCCAATTGTGTTATAAATGGCTATAGCTCTTTTTTTAAAAATATGTATAAACCTCTTCTTCCTAGCGATTTATTAACCATACATAGCTGAACTTTAACCTAATCAACCCTAACCAGTAAGTAGCCAGCTATTAACCCATCTATATTTTGCTACATTTTTTTTCTTTCTTTTGTTCTAAACCCGGCAGAACTATCATATTTCTGAAACATTTCCCTTCGAAGAATTTTAGTGTTAAAAAAAACCCTTAGAGAGCAGGGTTAAAGAGGGTTAATATTTTTTTTAAAAAAATCACTGGAGATCAATAAATATTTTGCTTACCACCTAAAATGTATCTTAACGAGCACTTCAGAAAGAAAGAAAAAATGTCGAGTTGCAAAATAATTTTAAAATGAATATTCATCAATTTATATTATATTATATTTTAATTTTTTTTCTTTTTTTTTAAAAAATATTTGACTCTAAAAAATCAAATTTTATTTTTACATTATCTTAATTGCGAAATATAACTTTAAATGCTATGTTAAGTTTTTATAACGATAAGAATATGTTTTTTTAAATTTAATATCAGAACCCGTATTCCATTTGGTAACTAAAAATATCTCGGCACGTTATGAGGTATATACGTTGGTTTAAAAAAAATATATATTAACAATTTTAAATCGCTTGATTACAAAAGTATTATATTATTTGATGGGTTGAATATGAAAAATGTCTTAACTTTTTCGCGATCACTAGTGTTGTTAAACGGCTAGTTTTGAGCCGATTTTAAACGGCTAACTCCAATATATTATTCAGAAAAAATATTAGGCAAGCCTGAATATTTTGCTCATAGATGGCACGAAGGGTTGAAAATTTAGTAGCGAAATCTCGAGAGGCATTATTTTTCTGGCTAAATTATGTAGTTAGTCGTTTTTAAAAAATCGGCTCAAATCCAACATTAGA